GTTGAGCGAAACTATCGACAGAGAAATGACAGGAAAACCAAACGACCGCATGTTCTCGGACGGTCAGTGAGGTGTTGGAACTGAACAGGATGAATTCGACGTTGGAGCTCAGAGAGGGGAACATCACGACAGCCGGGGCCGGCGTATCATGCGGGAGCGGGGGAGAGGATTGCGATGTGGGGAGGTGTATACCTGATGGTAGAATGACGAGCGGTGTGGAGTGGCGAGCACACCAGGGCATGGTGCACAAGTGAGTGACATATGTGAACGAAACCCTGCACGTGGTCAGGCACGAGTGTTCCGCTACAACGGTTAAAGCGATATGAATAAGAGATAATAACGATAGCAATTTTCCGGCACTCCCCAGTGAGATGAACCCAGTACCTCAGTTGAAAATGCAGAAATCACCGGTCTTCTGTGTCGCTCCCGCTGGGAGTTGGAGACTGGAGCTGTTCCTATTCGGCCATCTTGCTCCGCCCCCCCCAAGAGGTCATTTTCTAATGTGGAGTAATCAAGAATAACAGCAAGTCTGAAAGGAGCTTCATTTGTGACACGGCAGGTTTGGGGTGTAAATACTTCGTTACCTACGCATGCCAAGCACTACAGTGCATTCTAAAGATAAAGTGGTAAGCAAGGCCACATATTTGTGCAGCATATGTTCTAGTGGGAGAGGCAGACAATAAATGGATTAAGCAGGTAGACCAAATAATAGCAGTGATGTTTTTGTGACGATTACATTGAGGGAAACAAAGAACGTAACAGGAAAGAAGCAAATGTATAAAATTAGACATTCAAGTCTGGTGTTGAAGAGAGATACCAAAGTAAGTTGGTTTGAGTGACAAAATAAACAAAGTAATATTGCAGTATAATCCACGTTTCCAAATAAATGTTCACGAGTCTCCATACTAACATTAATAAATGTTTGAATACATTCTTAAAAACTGGAGAGAATAGACAATTTCACATACAGAAGATTTCAAATAATTTAGGTAGATACTCTGCTCTTAAGGAGACAAATCATAACTCCCTTCTCCTTAAGTGTGTGATGCACATAGAGACTTCCTTCTAAAGGGGATAGTATGAAAAAAAGGGAAAAGGGTAACATAACAGAGAGGAAGCCTTATAAACACTAAATCAAGGTTGACATCATCAATTACAAATCATGTGGATAGTATGTATTCTTGGTATGATATGATGAAAATGGCACTTTACCTCTGTATTGCTTCTCCAAAAACCCATAACGTCAGTCTCATCATGAAACAAACATTACACAAAGCCCAAGTGAGGAACATTCTACAAAAATACCTGATCAGTATTCCTCAAAACTGCGAAGGTCACCAGCAAGAAAAATCTGAGAAGCTGTCACCTCCAAGAGGAGCCCAAGGAGAAATGATGACTAAATGTAATGTGGGGTCTTGGATGGGATCCTGAGACAGAAAGAGGACACTAGGTAAAAATGAAGAGAATTCAAAGTATGAAATTTAGTTAAAAATTATGTAACAATATTAGTTCATTAGTTGTCACAAATGTACCACAATAATGTAAGATGTTAACAACAGGGGAAACTGAGTAAATGGGAATCAATCTTTGGGTAGGATTTCCCTCCTCTGAATTGTCATGTTTTCCTGTATATTCCGATGATAGAATCCAGATTTCCTTTAAAAGTAGAGAATTTTGTCTGTATTACTTTTGAGAGCCATGTTTAGTGCAGGGACATAAACCTAAAAGTTAACTACAAACTTATGCCAACGTGATGGAACTGCCTTAGTCAAACCGGAGCTAACATGGAAAACTACCTGGTGTAGAAGCATCCTGACTTCTCATTCAACTTGAACATTTTTTATGTAATGGAAAAATATCTGGCAGTTGTATATAAGGTTAAGTTCACTAAACTTAATCAAATTTTGGAACAAAAATGACATAATACACTCAACATTCCATTATCTATTCTCAGATAACCCCAAAATCATTTATATGGAATGTAATTTTTCATTTTTGGCCACAGATTTTCCTCCATAATTATGCTTGGCTTTGAATATGGTTTTAATTAGTTTACAGCAGAAGATAGCAGTAGTGCCAAGATGCTCCTCTCCGCAAGCCTCTTTAGAATACTATAAGGTCATTGAAAAACAAAACATTTTTTAGCAGCAGCAACAGGAGAAATGATCTTACCTTCTGAAAATCCTGGCATGATTCCCTGTCATAATTCATATAGCAGAGAAAACATCTGTAAATGGACCATCCAATCAACAAGCTTTCCATCTACCTACGTTCATCTCTCAGAACTCACCTTCTTCCTGAACACACTCTCCAAATGCATCATAACGGTGGACTCTAGAAAATGGCTAGCTGAGTTCTGATCCTCATTTTCAACTTAGAAGTTGTGTGACCTTGGGATAAATTACTCATCTTCTCCTTACCTCATTCTCCAAATCTAGAAAGTGTACATTTTCTAGCAATTAAAAAAATATGGCAACAGTACTCTTGCTTCCAGCTATGATGGAAGATCTTACATGAGGTCAAACCTCTCACTGGGAACAAATATAAATTTCAGATACTGTATAATAAAAAAATGCAAAGAAACAACAAAATAGCTGCACAAAGGCATTTGGAAAACAACTAAAACAGAATTTGAGGGGTCCAGGTGACAAAGAAAAGGGAAACACATTGAAGTGGGCAGGGTTTTTGCCACCGCTTTTATACTTCTAAAAATCAATTTTATTGAGGCATAAATGGCATAAGAATATGCATAGATGTTAAATGTGCATTCAGTGAGTTTGGGCACATGTATACACCTGTGTCATTTCCATCACACTGAATATACGGAACACTTTCATCATCCAGGGAAGCTTCCTAGTGCACTTTTGCTGTCAATTCCAACCAACCTGCACTGCCCCAGGCAACCACTGATACGATTTCTATTACCATGACTTAATTGTGCCTGTTATAGACTTCATGTGAATAAAATCATCGGTATATAATACAGCATATCTGGCTTCTTTCACTTTGTGTTATTTGTTGTGAGATTCATCCCTAGTTTAGGGTTTAGCAATTCATGTTGCATCCTCTTGATGATGCTTCACATGTTTTGAAGGTCTGTTATTACAGAATACATCTCTAGGATTGCTTCTTCCTCACAACCTCTCTTATGATTACAACAGCATTCATTGTCTTAAAATTTATTTTTCTGTTGTTAATATGGCTACATGAGCTTTCTTATGTTTATTCTTTGCATAGTGTGTCTTTTCCTATCCTTTGACTTTCAATTTTAGGTTGAAAATATGTCTCTTTGCAAACAATGTAGAGTTGGATCTTATTTCTCATCCAATCTAAAAATCTCTATTTTTAAATTGGAGTGTTTAATTCATTTACATTTAATGTAATTATAAATACAGTTGAACTTCAGTCTATCAGCTTATTTCTGATATTTTCTTTTTATTCTGTGGCCCTTATTTCACAAAATATTTTTACTATTTTCTCTATCTTTTCTATTGGTTAACCTCTTCCTATTATTTTTTAGTAGGTTTTAGTCAGGATCATAATGGGTATCCTTAATTTTTCACAGTCTACCTTGAATTAATATTATGTACTTTGCATACACTGTAAGACCCCATAACAAATGTAATTCCATTTATATTTTATCTTGTCCTTTAAACTATTATTTCAAGTATTTTAGTTCCATGTATTATTGTGCAAAATTCTTTGTTTTTAGTTTTTATTTAAATAGTCAATTGACTTTTAGAGGATTTTAAAAAATTCTTAAAATTATCCTAATATTTACCATGCCCAGTACTATTTACTTCTTCTCAAAGATCTGAATTTCCATGTGGTAACTTTTCCTTTGTGCTGCATTTGTTTTTAAGTATTTTGTAATTATTTATATTATTGCAAAATGTGCCTTTTAAAATTTAATTTTCCAGTTATTTGCCACTGCTACGTAGGAGTATCATTGATTCTATGTTAACCTTGTTAGCAGAAAACTTACTAAATTTACTTATTAATTCTTGTCTCTAGATTATCTTGGATTTTCTTTATAGCAATCATGTTGTCTATCTGATACATAATAGTTTTATGTATCCTCCCAAATACTTATGACTTTTATTTTTGTTGTTGTTGCCTTATTGCACTGGTAGGAGTTACAATATGATATCAAATAAAGTTAGTGTTAGTAAGTATCTCTGTTTCTTTCTTGATCTCATTTGGAAAGATCTCAATATTTGATCATTTAGTGTGTTATTGGGTGTGATCTTCTTGTAAGATACTCTTTGTCATATAAAAGAAGTTCCTTTCCATTTCTAGTTTGCCAAGACTTTCCCTTTTATTATGAATTAAAATGTTAACTCTTTTATACCCATGTTGTTTTAGTATACTTATTTTTATTAAACATAACTGCAGAAAGAGATAAATGTGTGTTTTTGTTTGTTTTGTAATTGTTAATGTAACTCTGTTATTAAACATTAATTACATTATCAAAAATTACAGGGCAATATCTTTCATGACCACAGATAAATATTAGCACATTGAATCCAGCATTATATTAAGTGGATAATACATCACAATCAAGTGAAAGCAATTCTAAAAATACAAGTTTGGTTTAGCATTTGAAAGTCAGGTAATAAAATTCATTGCATTAAAAATAAAAAATTAAATCATATGACTATCTCAAAAGGTACAAATGAAGCATGTGCTAATTTACCATGAAATATACAAAATGGGTACACTAAAAACTACAATATATTACTTATTTTTAATGAATAGGATATACCATATCTTATTAAAGTAAATATCATAAAGATGTCAGCTTGCCCAAACTGACCTGTATGTTTAATACAGTATCAATCAAAATCCCACTAAGAGGTTTTTTAATTGATACATAGTAGTTGTAAATATTTTGGGGGCACGTGTAATAATTTGATACATTCATATAATGTGTAAAGATCAAATTAGGGTAATTGGGATATTCATCACTGTTTTAGTTAAGTGCTGCTAAAAGGGAATACTTGGGGGTGGGTAATTTATAAAGAGGCTTATTTGACTCAAGGTTCTGTACGTTACGTTCTGCAAGAAGGATGGTGCTGGTATCAACTTAGCTCATGGTGAGGGCCTGGACTGTTTCAACTTATGACAGAAAGTAAAGGGGAGCTGGCTTGTCCAGAGATCATATGGTAAGACAGGATGCCAGAGACAGAGGGAAGCGATGCCAGGTTCTTTCCAGTTCCAGCTTTCACAGGAACTCGTGGAGTGTGAACTCACCCATTACTATGAGAATGGCACCAAGTCTTTCCTGAGAGCTCTGTCCCCATGAGCCAAACACCTCCCATTGGGTCTTATCTCCAACACTGGGGACCAAATTTCAACATGATATTTGGAGGGACAAATATCCAAACTATAGCAATTCCCTTAAATATTTATCTTTTCTTTATGCTAGGAACATTTGAATTATTCTCTTCTAGCTATTTTGAAAGACACAATGGATTATTGTTAACTATAATTGCCTTCCTGGTCTATCAAACACGAGGTCCTCTCTCTTTTATCTGACTATATATTTCCACCCATAAATCACTCTCACATCATTTTTCATTCCCCCCACCACACTCTTCCCAGCCTCTGGTAATCACCAGCTTACTCTCTACCTTAATGAGATCTACTTTTTTAGTTCCCATGTGAATAAAATCATGTGATATTTATCTTTCTGGACTTGGCTTATTTTACTTAACATAGTGACCTCCAGGTCCATCCATGTTGTTGCAAATGACGAGATTTCATGCTTTTTAATGGCTGAATAATATTCTATTGTATATATATACACCACATTTTCTTTATTCATTCATTCATTCATTGATAAGAACTTACGTTGATTCCATATTTTGACTACTGTGAATAGTGCTGCAGTAAACATGGCAGTGCAGATATCTTTGATATACTAATTTCCTTTCTTTTTTATACCCAGCAGTGGAATTACTGGATTATTTGGTAGTTATATTTTTAGTTTTTGAGAAACTGTTTGACTGAAAAACTATTTTCCATAGTTGCTATGCTAATTCACCTCCCCACCAACAGTGTATAAGCATTCCCCTTTCTCCACATCCTTTGCTAGCATCTGTTATTCCCTGTCTTTCTGATAAAAGTCATTTTAACAGAGAGATATGATATGTCATTATGCTTTTGATTTGCATTTCTCTGATAGTGATGTTGAGAATTTTTTCATATACCTGTTGATACGTCTTTCATTAAGATTTTTGCCCATGTTTAATCAGCTTATTTGATTGTTTTTTCTTGCAATTGAATTGAGTTCTTTACATATTCTGGTTACTAATCTGTTATCAGATGAATAGTGCATAAGTACTTTCTCCCTTCTGCAGATTGTCTCTTCCTTTTGTAGGTTGTTTCCGTGTGCTACGCAGAAGATGTTTAGCTGGATGAAACT